AAATAGAATCTTAACTCTGTTTAAGAATTGAGTATTGAGACTTTGAAAATTTTAGAGAACACACTATATTTGCTAATATATAAAGTCTAGATAGATATATGAATAGATAAAAAGATAGATATCAAATGTAATTTGAAAAGTAAAGATAAAAGTAAAATAAATATCCTACAAAAAAAGAAGAGAGAAATGTGGGAATTTGGTTGTTGATAATCAAAATTTTAAAAAGATAAGATATTTATGAGTGATTATGTATGAGTAGAAGATAATTTAATTTTGTTTGTTATATCGAAACAAAGGCATATATATTTTTTTGAATAGTAGCAAATAAACTTACTTTTTTAATAAAGTTTTAATAGAATAAAATATATTTAATTTTTAAATTGCATGCTATTTTTTCAAAAATAATAATAATAATAATACATTGATAGAAAATTTTAAAATTGACGGTAATCAATTGTTATCATCATAGCCTACAACAAGAATTTTGGATAAAATCATGGATAGCCAATAGAAAATCAACACTTAGCAACTTAAATTTTGAAAAAATTAAAAAAAAAGAAGGAAGATTCAGAATAAAGTATTGGAATTCCTCAAATCAAATAGTTAGATATTTTAGTTAATTTTAAAATTTAAATATTAAATCCAGTAAGATTATGCCATGTGTGTTAATTCAAAATTTATATAATACACTAATAGATTTGAGCCACTTTATTTTTTAATATTGTAAAAAGAATCAAAATTCAAAATTTTAAATTAGATATGTTTAGATAGAATTTAAAGATTTTAAAATTTTAAAATTAAATATTGTTAGGTATACCAATCACTTTAAGCCAAATGTATTTTTTATTTTTGCAAAATTTTAAAATTGAGAAATTGTGTTTAAGGTTTTGAAGTTGCTGTGTGTGTGTGCACGCTTAATTGGATGTATATTGGTTGCAAATGATCAGAAGAACTCTCATTTGAGAGAGTTTGAAGGAGCAAATGTGAGATTAAACAGAGCTGATCTTCTTGATTTCAAAAATTTATGCGAAGCCATTAATGGGTATGATGGTGTGATAGACATGAGATAAAATAAAATAAATTATATTAAATTCAAGATTTGATGAGTTTCGAATCTGATTAAATTGAAGAACAAACGCAAATCACAAATTAAAAAGTAAGCAAGCCCAAATCATGCAAAATGTAATAATGAAGAAGATGAAAAAATGTGTATGAATTGAAAAATTTTAGAAAAAAATATATATACACACAAAAGTAATAGACACTGGAAAAATACGTATAAAGTAAGAAAATTAGGAGCATAAAAAAGGAAAAAATGAAAAGATGTGTAGATGAACTGAAAAATATTGAAAAAAATATATGCACACAAAGTAACAAATACTGAAAAAATGCATATAAAGTAAGAAATAATATTACACTGACCTTGTAATGATTTTTACAGATCATCAAACTTACAAAATATAACAATGGTGAGGATGAGTTATTTTGAAGAAAGTTAAATAGATGAGAGAATGACTGAATGTAATAATGGAAAAGATGAAAAGATATGTAGATAAACTAAAAAATATTAGCAAAAAAATATATACACACAAAAGTAATAAACACTAAAAAAATGCATTTAAAGTAAGAAATAATATTAGGAGCATAAAAATGAAGAAGATGAAAAGATGTATAGATGAATTGAAAAATATTGAAAAAAGAAATATATACACAAAGTAACAAACAAAATATATATATATATATATATAAAATAAGAAATAATATTACACCGATCTTGTAATGATTTTTCCAGATCATCAAACTTGCAAAATGTAACAATGGAGAAAATGAGTTATTCTGAGAAAATAAAAGATGAATAAATGAGAGAATAATTGAATTTGATTGGAATAAACTAAATAGAGAAACGTATGTGTGGAAGTTGTAGGAGTTATGAGTTTCTTTTTCTTTTTTTCTATTTTTTATTTTTTATTTTTCATTTTTAAATTGAGATTGAGAGTGTGCTAGATATTATTGTGGCTGATAGATATGGATAAATATTTTATTATTTTGAGATAAATATATTGTGAGTGATGGATATGGATCAATATTTTATTATTTTATATTTTATATAGGAAGAGAAAGTGAGAAGACTTGAATGATATGAAGGGAAGTGTCACGTAATATTTGTTTTTCTTCAAAATTTTGAGATGTTAGGATTCAAGTTTTGGAACCTTTTGACTTAACAGTTACATTTGGTTATATATATAGCATAGATATAGATAGATAGATAGATATAGATAGATAGATTAGATGACAAGTATGTTGTCATCTAATTATTAGGCCATAATACTTTGTCTTTAAAGTAAATATAAAGTAAAGAATTAATTACCTAAAAGTCCTATTTACAAATGTTATGGTAACTCGAGTCTTATCTCAGATTTTTTAAACCAGTAAGTCCTATTTAGTAAAACTGAAAATATTATCAGTTTTTTTCGTTTTTTAAAACTAAGAATATTATCAATTTTATAAAGTAATGTTTTAGATAATTTTTTCACTAACTGATAAAAAAACAGAGCATGAGATTAAACGTTTTTTGCCTTTCTACTTATTACTTTGATTCAACCATCTAATAAAATCGAGAACATTATCATTTTTTTCTAGTTTTAAAACTGAAAACATTATTAATTTTTCATTTTTAAATTTTTTATTTTTTTATTTTTTCTTTTCAGTTTTGCACATCAATATTCCATCATCATGCTCTTTTAATTTTTAGTCTTGCACAAAAAAATAATTGAATTTTTTCAAAAACAAATATTAGTTTTTTTTTTATAGATTATCATAAATGATGAACAATCATTATTTAAAGAGCAATTTCGATTATTAAAAATTTAATGGGACTTGAAGGTCTAAAAAAATCTTAATTAGGATGTAATGGAGTATAAGTTCATAAATTAAAACTTGTATGTAAATGCCCCTATAATAAAATCACCTGATTATAATTATCAAATTAATTTATTTCTAAATTGATGATTTATATAGAGAAACTAAAATGGTAAACAATTTAAATAATCATAATATGACCTATTATGGCCCAATAATAGGACCAGCTATGCCATGGCTTTCTTTAGGAGTGATGGCTTTCTTTTGGGGTGTGTTTGATAGAGGGATTAATGGGGGACTATTTATTATTCGGATTGCTTATTTTAAGGAGTGAGTAGTCCATCATTTTTTTTTTTAGTTCGCCGGACATGGAGTCCGGCCGGACTCCTTATCTCCTATATGGGGGATTATACTATTCCGGGGGGTGTGGGATGGTTTTGGAGGTATTATTTACTGTTAGAATTATGTGGTAAAATGACCATTTTGATCCTCTACTATTTAATTATGTATTATATTTAGTAAAATTCAATAAAATTTAAATGTCTCAATTTAAAAATAAAATAATTTTATTTAACTTTTAGAGGAAAAGAATGATGAATAAAACCTTGAGGTTGATCCATGTAAACTTCCTCTATAGATATTTTATTGATGTTTTATTTTAAAATTTTGTTTATATTTTATTTAATTTCATGATTTAAATGTTAATAGATGTTTTATTTAATTTCATTGTTTAATTATTATTATTTTTAAAACAAATTTATTTAAAATTTTAATTAAAAAAATAACATATATTTTTATTGATATTTTATTTATTTAATTTGTTTAATTTTTTAAAAATAAATTTATTTAATTGTGTAAAAAATAAAATAAAACAAATTTTTATTTAATCTAGCTAAAAATAATTAAAATATTAAGATATGTTTAACGTTGCTATTACTTAGTAAATAATTGAAAAAAGGGTAAAATAGTCTTTTATTCATTTATCCTATCCAGTCCGTCCAACTAAACGTTGAATTTACTAAAAATAGTCCTTTCCAGACATCCAATCCCATGAAAAAAACAAATACAGGATACATATCTAATCCAACCAAATAGTCCAGGGAATTCACAATCCCAGATGGATTCTAATTCCCCTTATTCAGTCCGTCCAATCAAACACACCGGAGTGATGGTTTGGAATATTCTAAATAAGTGTATTTTTTGATTTTTGATTAAAAAAAAATGTGTAGAAAAGTAGAGAAATTTGATAAAAAAGTAGATATGAGATATTGATAGATGTTAATTGATATGACCTAAATAAGTGTATGTATGCAAAAAAAAAAGTATATTTTTTTAGTACATGTCAAATACTTTTTGTCTTTTTTTTAGTTTGACTTATTTTATCTTTTGTTTTTTTAAAAATAAAAATAGAATCATTTAGACGAAATGAGACTAAGAATAAAATAAAAATAATTTATTCAAAATTTTTATAAAAAATTATAAAAATTTAAAAATAATTAAAAAAAAAAAGTAGCTAAAGAAATGAACTTAAACCTCGGCAATGGGCTTGTCCAAACCCAAAATTTAAGGCCCAAGCCTATGGCTTCAAGTTAGACTTGGCCATATGAGCTTAATTTCGGCTTTAATTTGAGCTTTCTTACTAAATTCAGAAAACAATTACGAAAAAAATTAAAACTTATAACACAAAATCTTGAAGTGCATTACAATAATTAGAGTAGAATATTAAATCAAGAAAAACAAAAAATACACTTTATTTCTTAAAATACATAATTACATTCATTATGATTATGTTATTAAATTTTATGCATCTTTAATTTCATAAAAATATAGTTACTACTTTCACAGTTGGGGTGCTATTACTGTGCTACTCATTTATTTTTATCAATTTTAATTTCATTAATTTACTAAAACTGTATATGTACACAAAAAATAAAACAATTGTGATAAATATCCCCACACATACATGACCCTCACAATCCCTATTTTTATCTCAATCACTCATAATATAGAATCCACACATACATGAATAAATCCCATACACATCAAGAGTCCAAATTAAATTGGGGGTCATGAAACCCTAAAAAAGAGGTCCAAACCTTTCTGAAAATAAAAATAAGTGTTAGAGAGAGAGAAATTATATCTATTATGGCCAGCTCATGAGTCCAACCCATATATTTAAGGTCCACAGATAAAGTGGGTCTGAAAATTGAGCCTCCTCCACTTCTTCTTCTTCTTTTTCTTCTCTCTCCTGTGAATTATTTCTTGCTCTTGGAGAACTTCCCTGAAGATCATGTAGGTTAGTTTACTACTCACTCTCTTTTGTTCTTCTCTGTTCTCTCACTATTTTTTTTGTTCCTTTCTGTTGAGGTTTCTCTATCCCTTTTTTTTTCTTTCCTTTTTTTTTTTTTTTTTTTTTTTTTTCTCTCTAAGTGTGCATGAATGGGAATTGGAGTTAGTTGATTTTATGTCATTCAGTTAAGATTGTGGGTTTTATGGTATTCTGCAATGTGGGAATTATACTTGCAATGGGTATTTGCTTGGAGAGAGAGAGAGAGAGAGAGAGAAGAATATTGGCATGTTTGGGTTTCTTCTTATATTTGCTGCTTTTGGGTCTGATGTGAATTGCTCTTATTCTTGGCTGGCCTAGTTCTGTTTTTGCCCAAGTTTTATCTATCTCGAACTGACATAAAAAGAAAAAAGAAAAAAACCCCCCCCCCCCCCCTCTCTCTCTCTCTCTCAGCCCAAGAATACTCACTTCATTTTGTGCGTGAAGTGTTTGTCAAAATGTCAAGCTGAGAATATGTTTGCTATTATAACTTACGTATACCAAGACTTTGAATAGTTAAAATGTGAATTCGTAGATATGTTATGCCAAAGCGATTTTACGTTGAAACCTTGTATTGGATTATCGATTTGACTAGGCTTTGGAAAGAAAAAAGTAATGGTTTCAAAATTCAAATTCCAACTCAAATTCATAATTCAAACACAGCTCTTAAGGATTAGGGTTTAACATTTCACTTATCTTTTTATTTTTCTTTCCAAATTTCTACCCAAATTCATGATTTAAACACAGCCTTACATGTCTGAAATATAGATTTGGTTAGGAATTTGGATAGAGAAAGAAAAATGCGAGTGAAATGTAAATAAAATATAAACTAAATTTTTTCTTGATTTTCTTGCATTTTCATTTGCCTTTCTCTTTTTAACTCCCTACCCAAATTCATAATCCAGATACAACCTTTTAAAGAGTTTGTTGAATGCATTTCAAAAGTAGACAGGCCAACCTTTATTTGATAAAAGTTCCCAAAACCTGGTTAAAATCAAGCCAAGATGGAGGTTGGTTTTCACAAATTTAGAGAACTTAATGAAAGTGGACCTGGTCCATTTTTTAGATTTCCCAAACAAACTATGTAATGAACTAAATTGTTTTTCATTCTTAATTTTAAGAAATGATGACTCTTATGTAAACATTGTCTTGTTCGTTTCATCTGATGAAATTCTGCTCAAAAGTTTTGTTTGTAAAAAATATTGATCTCATTAGTTCCAAATTCTTAAGTTATACCAGATTGCTTCTATAGTCTTTGAATATATAGACGTCTATTTGTGTTGATATCATTACCAAAATGGAAGTTTCATTTATTTAAAACAAAGTCAAAGAGGATGAAATAGTGAAAAATAAAAATGTAATTTAGGTCCTTTACTCTAATGACCTTATTGAATAACAAAAATGTCTTTCTGGTTTCAACTGATTGTTAACTGCCCAACTGTGTCCACCTATGGTGATTCTCTTTCTTGGCCGAGAGTTGTTAGCAAAAAAGTAGTTCTCTTCCACCAATGCTAGTAAAGATATTTCCATGGCGTCATTCAAGACATCAAACCCTAACCCTACACTCGGTGATCCCCTTTCATGATGTAACCCAGGCAACACTCCTGTGTATCTCTCATTTATTATGCCAATCTTAATCCCAGAAGGAAGATATACTTATGAACCTCCATTTTCATTCACCTCCAAAACCCTTAAACCCAATAACGAGAACAAGGAAAAGAAGCAAGGGAATAGTCAAAACAAAGCTTCATTGAAATCAGAGAAAGTCTTAGGCTCTGTTTGGTTGTGTTTTAGAAATGTGATTCTACACCTACACTTGAGCATGACGTTTGGAACGAGTTTTGGAAATACATTTCCAAAACTTTGCAGAGAACTCTGAGACAGGCGCGCATTTCAGAATTTTTTTTTTGCAAATTTTGGTGGACGGGACGTCCGGCCGGTTGACCGGAATAGTGAATTTTTTTTTTTTTTTAATTGATATATAATCGAAAAAAACATTTTCTGAAAATTTTTAAAATTTTTTGTGCTTTAAAATAATTTTGAGTTGTATGAGTTGTAAATTTTTGTATCAAATATCAAATGGCACATCAACAATTCCCTGCTCAAATCAAAACTCTTTTCAAAACTATTTTCAAAACTCTTTACCAAATAAATTTTCTACACTCAAATCATAATTTCAAACCCCACAAACTCAAAATACAACTCATACTCTCAAATCATAATTACAAAACACAACCAAACGCAACCTTAGATTTTTCATTGAAATCAAATCTACCCTTTGATTTCAGGTACTCATACTCTGAGACTAACACTTTGATTGAACCCATTGGGTACTGTGAACCACCGAGATTCTCTCCCTTTGGACCTGGACAGCTCAACCGGAAATGGACCAGCACTTATGCTCTGGCCGAAGAATATAGGTAGAACAACAACGACGTGAGGTTCTTGGTGGACAACTCTCCGAAGAAGAAGTTGCTGTGCTTGTAGAATGGTTTTGTCGTAACGATTGTTCTCAACAGATTAATTTGGGTACTCTCTCTCTCTCTCTATGTATATACATGTACGTGTGTGTATGTGCTATATTCTAATTTGATTTGCCTCTTTCCAGTTCAATTTTCTGAATGATGAAGCTATACAACTTAGGGTTTGATTTTCATTAAAAAATTTATTAGTGACAATTTGAATTCATGTGATTTGATGCATGATGCATTATTTTTGCTGATTAGTTAGACTGATGGAATGTGTGAGTATAAACATGTATAAATTTCACATATTGGCTCTTGTTGTCAACCAACTAGTGTGTTTGCTCATTGAATGAAGAAACTGAAGTAATTAGACATTTATTCTATCGAGATCCTTGATTTTAGTCATACTTTTTTTTTTTGGTTTTCTATGTACAAAGAACATAAAATATGTTTATTTTTTATTCTTTTTATTTTTTATTTTATATAAAAACTACAATAAATAGCATATTTAGTATACATGTTCTCAAGAACATAAAAAATCAAAGAGTGGTGCTACTTTAACCAAAAAGTTAAAGACTTATTTTTCAAGCTTAATGATGTAGTGCTCTATTAAAATATTGATAAATTACAAATACACCTCTTGAAATTTACTTAAAATATATATTGCCCTTTGTGATTCTGAAAATTACATCTCGCCCTTTTAAGTTTATAATTACATTACAAATAACTCATTTGTTAATAAATCATCAAGTTAATTAATTGTTTTTAGGAAAATTTAGTCTAACATCCTTCTTCAACTTTTAGTTATGAGAGAAGTGTACATAATTTTTTTTTGTAGACTAAGGTCCTTCACCGACACCCATATATCACACCTACCTTCTCATTCTCTCTCCTCTCTCTTCCTCTCCCCCGCCTCACCCACACCCACACCCATACCCATACCCATACCCATGCGCACCGAAATCATTGTCGAGGCGGGTGACGATGGCTCAGTCAATGGCCGACCCCAACATTGACGACAGCAGCGCCGTTGATAATGAGCTTGTGTCATCCTCGCTTGGGCCATCGCTTCCATCATCTGTGTTGCCAATGAGGTCGAAAAGGAAAACCCATAGGGTTGCTTATGGGTTTCATTTGACTCTTGGGCAGGAGAATTAGGGCTATTTGATTGTAAGTGTTGTCATTTTATTGAATTGGGTTAGGGGTGGAGAAGAGGGCTATCATGGATGAAGGAGAGGAGCACATTGATCTTAAGTTCAAAATCTATGATGGAACAAATATAGCTCATAGTACCTAGGCAAACCAGAGAAAATTGGTTAAAGCACAGAGAAATTTATGAGTAAACCAGTGAAATTTCAAATAACATAGAAAATTTCAAAACACAGACAAAATCAGAAAAATCAAGTAAACCAGAGAGTTTTTAAAACACAGAATTTCTTTAGATTGAAATTTCTCTGAAAAAATGTTGAGGGATCCCAACCACTATGAAAATATTATATGTTTTTTATCCTATAAAATTTTAATATCAGAGACCTTAAAAAAAATTCCCTTTGTTTTTAATGATACCAAAAATATATTTCAATTAACAATTCAAATAATTTTATTGTTATATAGGAGAATAATTAAAATTTTCATCTTTCTGTTAATTATGTTAAATAAAATATCTTTGACAATGAGGTATTTGTAATTTCCAAAATTTCAAGGGATAATCTATATTTTAAGTAAACTTTAAGTATATTTGTAATTTACTTTAGAATATTTAGGTCAACTCTCTTTCTAATATTTTTTTCAATCATCAACCAATCATTTATTTTACATTATATATCACCGGGTCTAGAAAGTGAGTTTATAAAATATATTTGTATATCATTTTTCAAAATGAAAACAAGTATAGTAAATTACCAAAAGGAGGGGGGGAGTGGTCGAAGGTGATTGTCGAAGCGAAGATGGAAGGGCAAGGGTGGTAGGAAAGATTGAAACTTGTTTTGAAAATAAGTAGAATCACAATTTTCTTATTTCCAGGAATTCTAAGAATTGTAGCCAGATTTTTTTGAAAGTGAAAACAATTAGCAAACGTGTTTTTTATTCCGATTTCAAAAAATCTAAAGCTAAAGAAAAATAAATAAAATAAAAATCTCATCATTCAAAATTTTGTGAAGTTAGTAAATGTGTTTTTTATTCCAATTTCAAAAAATCTAAAGCTAATGAAAATTTTAAAAAATTAAAAAAAAACTCACCAAACGAACCCTAAGATTTACAATCCCAATTAAAAATAAATTTGTAAAGTTACCACTCTAGGATCAAAATTAGGAGGTCAAATAACAGGCTCTCGGTCTACTAAAAAACCAAAAATGTAATAGAGAAAAGAAAAAAAATATATAGAAAAATTTGATCCCAATATGAATACAGCAAATCAAGTAACAAGAGCACATGAAAATAAATAAATACATAATAAGCATTCTAAATGTGGTGGTCATTCAATAGGGTTAGAGCTCTCTCCTCCCTCCCTCACTATGTGAGATAATTTTCTTTCCAATAGCCATGTTTTGTGTCCCCAATACAAACTTTTGGGATGTGTGCAATTTTCCAATTATTTCCACCTTCTCTGTTCAGATTGGAAATCAATCCATCAGACATATCAATCAAATAAAGAGATTTAAGATTAGTTAGATGTTCAATGTCAGAGGGTAACTCCTCTACCAATTCGCATTTCCGGATAAGTAGCTCTTCAAGATGAGGCATCGAGCCAGCCTCCACTTTCACCCATCTCAATCCTTTAAATCCAACAAGGTATAATCTCACAAGTCTTTGAAATCCACCAGCCTTGAAACACAATTCTTCCCCTACATGTGTCTGAAGAAGTTCAAGTTCAACCAAATTGGGCAAACCTTGAAGGGATTCCAGTGGATCAACATCCCTTAAATTACTCCATGCTAAAGTTACTCTTACCAAGCTGTGCAGTGAAGGTAACCAATGTGGTACCTTATGTAAACTTCCTTCTAGGTTGAGCATTCGAAGAAGTTGAGGTGGTGAAGAAAGAGAATCTAGATCAATGATTTCGTTTTCACCTGTTGCACGAACAACCAATGAGCGAAGGTTACTAAGCTTCTTAAGGGACAAGCATAACGCCCTCCCATGTTCATTTCTCAGTTTTTCAATATGTAATTTCCTTAGTTGAGTCAACTTCCCTACCTCTCCTAGCAAAATGGTCCCATTATCATGGTTTGTTTCAATACAACAAAGTTTCTGTAAGGATGACAGACTTCCTATTTCCGTCGGGGCTTTGAATCCACAATAGTCTTTAAAACAAATTGAAGGAATAGGATCTTGTATGTAGTGATACAACAAGATATGGCGAAGTCGTTGGAGCTTGAGGATATCATTAGGCAACTCAGTGACATACGTTTGTTTAAGGTCCAATGTTTCCAGGTTTTGGAGCTTTCGAATTGACTTCGGTATTATTTTTACCTTGGTTCCCCTCAAACTTAAATACTTGAGTTGAAGTAGTTTCAAAACTTCATTTGGGAATGTCTCCAACAAGGCACCTCTCAAGTCTAGCACGGTTAGCAGCTGTAGACCGTCACTTGACGATGAAAGCATAGACAACTTGGACAGTGAATCTGTTGCATTGAACATAAGCAAAGAACGAAGTTGAGTGAAACGCTTGCTTTGTTGTGTATATTCCCAATGATTGTTGATTGATAAGCGCCGCACCTTTTTGGGCCAAGCTTTGTTTTGTTCACCGGCTAGTGTCACGATGTTTTGCTCTCTTGACTTCAAAACAATAATTTCACGCCAAAGGTCATGGATGCGATACGTTTTGACCCTTCCACCTGATCTCATCTCTGCCACTTGAACTAAGCTTCTATTGATCAACTCATTGAGGTAGCCCTCGGCAACTTCTTCTACCGTCATTCCTACTTTCATTTCTACAAATCCTTCTGCCACCCATAACCGAATCAATCTCCAATGGTCAATCAAACAATCCTTCGGAAAAACACTTAGATATAGAAAGTAGAACTTCAGATAATGAGGTAAATCAATGTAACTGAGTGACAATATTTTGTTCATGCTTAGGAGTTTGTCATTTCCTTCTAGTTCTGCACCAAAGCTGCGGTAGATCTTATCCCACTCATCCACACTGCTCTTATCCTTTGTTGATAAAAGACCACTAATTGCCACAATTGCAAGCGGCAATCCCTCACATTTATTCAAGATGGCTTTTGAAAGTCCTTCCAAGTGTGAAGGGCAAGAATTATCCATAAATGTTTTCTTGCAAAATAATGTCCAGGATTCTTCGGGAGGCAAGGTCTGAAGATTATAGACATCACCATGATATTCTTTACTAGCCAAAGAGGCTATATCTGCATTTCTAGTTGTTAGCACTACTCGACTGCCACAATTGCCAATGGGAAACACATATCTAAAAGATTGCCACGCATGAATATCCCATACATCATCAAAAACAAGCACATACCTCTTTCGTTGGAGGAAAGCATTAATTATCCCTTTCAAGCTGTTGGTATCCATGCTGTCAATCCCTTGTGGGATTGGTTGCTTGATTTCTTCAAAAAGTTGTTTGATGATGCCTTTTAGGAGCACCTCAATCTTGAAGGATTCAGAAACAGTGATCCAAACATGGCTCTGGAAATGATTCTTCACAACTGCATCATCAAAGACCTTTTTAACCAGTGTTGTTTTGCCCAATCCGCCCATTCCTGATACGGAAAACACCTTGAGTCTGGGGTCTTCATGCACCAACCACCTAATTAGTTGTGATTTGGGCTTGTCAATGCCCACAAGCTCAGATTCATCGAGTAGAAGGGCATCGCCACGATAATCATGCCATACTGTGTTAAGACCAGTGGACCTTGAGCTTGAGCCTTGCTCTAACATACCATATCTTTCATGGTATCTCTGACGTCCCTTCGAAATATCGATGATTCTAACCTTCATTCTTTAAACTTCCGAAGCAATTTGGTGACGAGCTTTTAAAGTCTTAATAAAGCAAGAAACCTTACAAAGAAAACTGCAAAATCCAGCGCCATGATGATGTCCGAGGCGAAGCATGAACAACTCAAGAACATCTCCAATGTCATACGCAGCTTCTCGGACTTGCTTGACCCATACTTTGAGTTCAGGGTTGTTTTCTTCCATAGCATCTGCAACTCTGAGGAAAGCTGTCATGCGATCGAATTCATCTCTGATGTATTGGATCTCATCTTGAACTCCAGTCAACAAATTGGCCTCTTGTTGGAGGAAGGGTGTGAAGTTGGCTAGTAGATGGAACACTGCACTCTCTGCCATATTTTTTTTAAAATTTGTTTTGTTGCAGAGGAGTAGCCTTTGGTTGGTTTGGGTTTGAAGGTAGGAGGAAG